TTGGGTAACTTTCTCTTCTTCCCCTAGAACATTCGAGAACAGGAACATATGTTTATTTTTCGTATGACCGTGTATTTCGTGAATTTTTTAGGACCGTGGAATTAATTTTTGGCTCACGATGCATAGGCACATATAATGCGCACACGCGCGCGCGCGTGTGGTAAACGAACTTTATTGATAAGAATTGAAAAAAAATAAAGCATATTTTATGGTCGTATCCAAACATTATTGTATCATTTTATAACCGATTGATCGGTTAGTGCTTTGATTTGTAGTCAATCGATCGACTTTGTCGGTTGCAACAAAAAATGTTGCCCCCTTCCGTTATATGTCACTTTTCGACCCCAAATAATGCACATATAAAGCGGGAATATTGTATGTACAGATTTTCTAAAAAGAAATACAATACTTTATTTTCGAAAAAAAAGTTACGGATACATTAAGACCTTAATGTTTTTTAAAAGTACTAAGGTGTGTCAATATATTGCATTGTAACTTTTGTAATTTGATTTGCGTGAATTTAGAAACAATTTTTTTGCTCAACCAGCTTCATGGCTCTTAATATTCGGAACATTAAATTTTTTGTAAGAATATAGTAATTTAACACAAAAAAAATTTTTTCATACGTAAAATTTACAAGTAATAAATAACTCATCAACCGAAAGTTGCCCAAATAGTTATGTCCTCATTGTTATTACACAATAATTCTTTCTATTCATATACAAAGGATTATTTCGAAAATAGCGTAATAATACTTTGGTATAATAAACAATTTTCACAAAGTCAATTTCCTCCAGGACAAACAAGTAAAAGGGACATCATCTCGCTTATTTCAAAATCATTATTCCAAATATGATATATAACCTTCCTATTCTAGTTAGCACAGCATGTACTCTTATCTGCCTTCTTGTTGCTCAACGAATATCTCGAACAAGATTGTTGATATACAATGTAGATAAGTCTCCTGAACTTATTGTTATCATAGCTGAAGCTATTATAGAGGGTAATACAATTCATGCATGTATTATTAAAAAAGGGTTAGTTTCTGATCCCTGTCTTAGTACAGAAGAGGCACTAAAACTTGGAGGCAAAAGCTTAAATCTGTTGAAAGAATGGGTACAAATTAGATTTACATTTTGTCATTTCTCTTTCTTTCAAATTTCTTCACTTGTTAACATTGGGTTATCTAAAACATATTAATTGCATTATAGAAATTTAAAATATTCCATGAAAGAATTCAAAGTTTATATCAGCACATAAATAATTTTTTACATGAATGGTATTTAGCACCAAAGTCAATGAATTTATTTATGCTACTTATTACCTGTGGGCGTACAGTACTATTTATATTTCAAGAAAAAACTTATATGGTAAAAAGCTTAGTTAAGTCTGCAAAAATTGTGTTACATAAAACTTTTATCTATAGGTAACATTTTTTGACTCTCATAGTCATAGTACAAATGCAAATCCAAATCGAGGATTAGTTATTGCACAGGTAAGAATTTATAATTATACATTATAAAATCAATATTTAATAAACATTGCAATATTTCACATTTGTAAGTGTTAGCAATGCATTTTCAATTAATAGTAAAAGAATAATGTAGACAGGTATGGACAAGTTGGAAGATTTATGCAATTGGTACACAAAGGATATATTAAAGATATATTATAATAGAGAAGCAAAGTCATATGAGCTAGCATTTCTATATCCATGCAATTCATTACATTATGGAGGGAATTCATTATGCAAATGTGACAATTATTTCAGAAAATAATAATAATAATTTAGTAGAATAACTTTTACTTTTCAAGTATGCATATGTAAATATTTTAAAATCTATACAAATACACGAAAAAAAAAGTAAAACTTATATTGCAGTTAAAAATACTATATTTGAAAGTAATTATTGTGATGTAATGATATGGAAGTTTTTATTTAATTAGACATACTATGTAGATTAAGACTGACAGATTTATTTACATTATGTACAATTTTTTCCTAAAACTATTACAATTTGTTAGTGTCCACGCAATGCATAAACTATTAAAAAAATAACATAGTTTAAATTTGAAAATTGTGATGTACATTTTCCGTGTATTCTTTTTCTGCATTGCGCAAACATTTCTGACAATATTTTTCTGGACTCTCCCCTTTATATTGTATGCATATGTCAGAATCTTTGTCATTTTATCTATTTTAACATCTTTATAAAATATAATCCAAAATTTCTGGACGACGTATTTTTTATATTGCTAATTCTCTACTTTGCACCTTTCAATGTTAATATACCTAAATGGATATAATGTTCGGATTCCTTAACTGTTAACCATGAAGTTGCAGAGATATATATTTCTTTACATTATGTTCCTTTAATCTCTTTGCATCATATATAAATTAAAGTGATTAGTAGTCTTGAAAATTCGTGTATTGTACTAAGCTACAGAAGCATTAATCACACATTGCATTGTAAAGAAGGAAGAAAACATAAAACTTAAAATGTTATTAATAGTTTTAACACTTTGTAGTACAAACAAAAAATTTGTTATGAGGATTAAATCTGTTTTTATCAGTTGCTCGCTTATTTAATAATTTGATGTAATTAATTTGTATTCAACTTGTCAGTTTTAAAATCAATATCTATGATTGTATGATATTATAAAAAAATATATTTAATCTGCAATAATTATAAATGAAACCCATAATTTAAACTTGTAAAAAATTCTTAATTTATTTTCCCTAACATCTATTATACCTCAGAATTACAATATAAATATTACTCTTTACTAATAAAACAGAAACAAATCTTTTTCTGTCATCATTTAAATTGATGATTGTAAAAAAGATAAGTATACCAGTGCCGAAATAGCATTACGTTTAAAATACAGATTTTTCTTTCTGTGTGTGTGTTTTTTCTATTTTTTTTTTTCCTTTTTTTTGTATGTATATTACAAGTGTTCTGTAGAGTATCATAAAATTTATTTAATAACAATTTTTAACAACGCAATTTCTAGAAATTACTATCTACAAAAAGGTATAAACGAATCTTATGATTTCTCCTTTTTGAAGCCAAATTCGTGCAAAGGAACACAGTCAGCGATTTCTTCAGATGTTTGCAAATACCGTCGGTAGTTGAGCAACATTTTTCACTGTCATTGTTTTCTTAAACAAACTGATTATACATCAGATTACTTTGTACAGACAAATGCATAATAATGCGATTCTTATGTAAAACTTTAATAGTTATATAATGTGGGATTAAATGAAACAGAATCTCTAATTTAATATGAAATTAACTTATTGTTGACGAGCAATAATTTTTTCGTTATATAAATTTGTTTACATTACAGAATTGTTATACATTAGATTGATCCTAACAATTATAATACTCCTGCCTCATTATCATATAATCTGTACACAAAGTAAAATGATGCTCTATCAGAAAAATATGATCAAGTATCACTTGAAGAATATACGATTTTATAAATGAATAAATAAAGCTTTTTTTATATGAAGTTAAAAATGTAACAAAAAGATGTTAGAGGGACTGACGAATACGGGGCTGTGCCCATTCTACAAAATCATCTATTAGTACAGGCCAGGCTCCCTCTTCATCATAATTACTCATATCAGGGTTGATCATGAGTGCAAAGTCTAATAATAAATTCCACGTATCTTTTGGAATCGACCTCTTATGGTGTTCCTAAAAAATAGTGTTAGCTATTTTGTATCATAATTTACCTAGCCAATACTTAAGCCTTCATTTTTTAGGCTTGATTAATATTTACATTGTAAGAAAAGAAATTCATATACTTTAGATAGCTTACCTGTAAAAATTGACACCATAAAGGGAGGAACTTAAATTTATCATCTAATACGATATTCCAATAAGCAATTGCCATATCAAGATCCAAACCCTTTTGTCCTGGATTTTTTGCATAATTAAACGTAAATTGATAAAAGTCTTTAAATTTTTGAGGATCCCTCAATTCACTTTCTAAACTACTTAAACAGGCTTTTAATTTATCTATACTGTCCACACTAAAAAGATAATTTCAATGAACTGTATTAAAATAATATATATATAACAGAGCCTGTTTTTTTCTTCTATAAAAAGAAGATTAAAAAATGTTTGTTACCCTAGGTCTGTCATTCCACTCATAAATTCATCTTTAGTAAATTCACATTGTGTTTCTGCTCTAAATTTCCATGCAATGATTAATACTAATTTACTTTCAGGGCTTAAATCCAAATCATCCAAGAATTTCATGATTCCATCTGCTGTTATCTTGTCAGGTTCATTTGGATCTATTTCAATTGAGATAGAATATGCAAATATCAGAGGCATATTCTTCATTTTATACATGCTTACTTATTACACATTATCTACCTTTCATAGAGTTACCTTGATATCGACTAAATAATATGTCTAGTTTTTTTTTATCTATTGTATTTTTTGGTTCTTTACAATATGCCTCAGGATTTTGAAAATAATTATCACTTGCCAAGTCTAGCTTCCAATCATTTTGTGTTAGACAATATATTGCAGTTTGTTCTCCAGTATGTGTAAATGAAATGAATTTTTTCACTTTGTCTCTCTGTGAGAACTTTAACTTATGCTGCAACAAAAATTAAATACATTATTACTGATTCTAAAGATTAAAATAGACGAAATTAGAATTACTTTTCCATTATACATCATTGAACATCATATTAAATGAAACACATATGTATGCACTATGATGTTACAGACTTTCCTTTTTATTTATAACACTGAAATTAACTTCGAAGAAAATGTATAAACAAAGATTTTATTGCTTGTACAACAGTTGCTGTTAATACTGCGAATATCGTTTTATTAAAAATATGAGTAAATTTTTTAATTCCTAAATAACAATACGACTTATTGCAATAAAGAGTTCATGTATTATCCTGCAATGACGTTAGGCACAAGGTACGCCACAAAATTGATTTGTATTTAGTGCAAAAGGGAACATTAACGTTGACTCATGATAGGTTATTTTAACATGTTTAATACACTGTCGCGCACGTATAAGTGGAAATATAATTTTTTTAATCAAATAAAACTGTGGAGATCGTTGAATTAACGTAATCCATAAATTTGTTCAGAGCTCACCATTTTAGCTAATTTTAGGCCCCCGAAAGCCAAAATATTATTTCCTTTGCACTACACTTGACATGAACATGCGCATGTTCTGTGAAGGTCCTGAGAAATGCAAATACACCAAGAAGACTATAAAGCAATGCCACCAGACGTTACCAAAGGAAAGCAACCTCGAGAACAATGTCGCGGGTTATTTAAAAGATTTACATTTAATTTGTTAAACACATATTATAACACAATAAAATAAAAAATTATCAAAAACACCATGTGATTAAGTTTTACGTCGGGTGGCATCGGTGCAAAATCTTTCCTTTTCGTGTTTTGTGAAAATTAGGATGTCGAAGTCTTCATGAAATAACAACAAAACGCTATCGTAAATATTGGCCCACGCAAATAAATGCATACATGAAGTTACAAGAACGTGTATACGTCAAAGAGCGAATAAATAAGTTTGAATTAATAAAAAAAGAACAACATTAATATTGAAATCGTTTTTGAATTGTCGACTCAATGTGATTCTTCGATTGGATACCTTATTGTTGTGATTTTGACAATTCTCCCACTGCATTTTATGTGAATTATTTTTTATATGAAATGTATATAAACTAAAATGTACTTCGTAAACTTTTTGTAATAATATTAATGATTCATCGGTAACGACACTAGTTACATTTTTAGAAAAATGTAAAAGAAAAATAGTTTCTTGTTAGGTTATTGATCAATAATGTCAACAAAAATTCCACAATTATTATGTTCTTGGTAAGAAATATGTACATTCTTTAATATTATGATTCTATTACTAAAAAGGATGTAATGATATAAAAATATTTTGTTTGAAATAAAATAGTTGGATGTAAGACTGTTTTTTATAACCATATTTGTTCTGTATTGGCAGGAATTTGTCAGACAATTACAAAATAAATTCATCAATTTGAAATTTAAATGGACATGAATGATAATCTATAACATGATGGGGGGAAGTATATTTGAAATACTTCCATTGTACCATCAAAATGGAAGTGGCAGAGAAATTTGTCATTGGATGACACATATCAAATTATCTAAAATTTTAATGTTAACATCTGCTGTTTTATTCATTGTACCATTATTTACTCACTATTATTTATCAAAGGTATTATTTTTGGTTGTAAATACTTCCACAAAGATATCATAAATAACTAATTAATTTAAAATCCTAAATTTTATATTTTTAGGTAGAATCTGATTCGCCAGATAAAGATATTTATCGTACATATTCCACACTGGAAGCTTTTGAAGATTTTACTGCTATGAAAGCTTCTCAGTTGAAGATGCGAATAGAGGAGATGTTGCGCATTAAAGTTTCTGTAAATAATGAGCTCAGAGATCTGAGTGCAAAGAGACAACGACTTCAAGTTGAAGTTAGTAGTTTAACTCAAAAAATTGATGAATTAAAACAAGAATTATTGCACCAACAAACAGATCTTGATAGATTAAAGATCAGTGTTGAACAAGCACAAGTAGCTCAGAGAGAAGCAGTGGAAAGAAACACACCAGAACTAGCACCACCTAAGCGTATATTAATGGATTCTGTTCCTGTGGTATTACCTAGTACATTACCACATTTATGTAGAATGTACAATTGTTTTGATCATAGTCGGTGTGCATTAACTAGTGGTTTCCCAGTGTATTTGTATGATCCTGATCAGTATTCTGTAATAAGTCCTGGCTGGGATATTGATGGATTTTTGAAGACTACTATTAAACAAACATTAGGTACGCACTCGAATAATCATTTGTAATTATACTTTCAAATTAAATTTATATTTTTTACCTTACAGGATATAATCCACATCTTACTGTGAATGCAGCTGAAGCTTGTATATATATAGTACTTATAGGGGAAGCTCTCTCTACTCAACAAAAAATAGACAAGAAATTTCGTAAACCTATAGATGTAAAAAAGTTACATGCACTTCCATATTGGGGTGGGGATGGCAGAAATCATATTTTGTTAAACCTAGCGCGTAGAGACCTCTCCGTAGAATCTGGGGATATTTTCAGTGGAGTAGATACTGGAAGAGCTATAATAGTACAATCTACATTCTATAGAAATCAATTTCGCGAAGGTTTCGATTTAGTTGTCCCGCCCATTTTAGGACCTCCGGGTGGCGATGTGTGGCAAGAATGTGCCCAAATGTTGCCAGCGAGAAGAAAATATTTATTATCTTTCCAAGGAGAAATGAGATCTTCACGAATCACAACCATGACACCTCAAAGTGACGATGCAGATATAGATATGGAAAGGCTAATAGTCGATGAGAATAATTTGGATGCTTTCATTATTCAGCATCTTAAAGATATGAGTACAGGATTAACTTTGGATAAATTTTTCATTCAGTTTGAGTGTATACCAGCATCCGAGGAGAAAAATTTATTAGAAATACTTGATTGGTCTCTGTGTGGAACTGATTCCTCAAGGAAAGCTATATTGAAAGAGTCTACATTTGCTCTAATTCTAGCTCCTAGCAATGCATCATTTGTAACCACTTCATCTATGCAGGCTAGATTATACGAAGCATTACGATCGGGCTCTATTCCTGTCTTTTTAGGCGGTGATCAAATTTTATTGAGTTACAGTGAAGTTATTAGTTGGCGCCGAGCAGCTATCTTTTTGCCGAAGGTAAGAGTACAATATCTTTAATGTGATATCGTTTTATAATCGTTGGATATGTTTTGGATCTTAGGCCAGAGTAACGGAAATGCACTTTCTATTACGTGCGGTCCTCGACACTGATCTTTTAAGTATGCGTAGACAGGGTAGATTAATATGGGAACGTTATTTGAGCACTGCTCAAGGTGCAGTAGATACCATTGTAGCTGTAATTAGAGATCGACTTGGCATACCACCTTTGCCAGCACCCCAAACTGCCAGTCCAAGTGTCTTTAACGAAAGCTTTGTGGTAAATGTTATAATATACAAACAAGTTGTATTTCCTCACGCGATGTATAATAATATGGTGCTTTTTCTAGTCTTTAAAATCTGATACTATTATCGCCGAGCCGGAGGCAGAAGAAAGTTTAGGGCCTTTAGAACCACCTTATCCATCCCCTGCTTTTAAAAGAAATTATACTACAATGTTGCTTCAAGGACATGAAATTTGGAATGATTGGTTGGATCCGTTTTATTTGTACCCACAGTTACCATTTGATACCGTCCTTCCTAGCGACGCAAAGTTTCTTGGTGAGTAAATTTAATTTTTCACCAGCAAAGATTTTACTTGACAAATTACAAATTAAAGGTTCCGAAGTGGGGTTCAGACCAATTGGCAAAGGTGCTGGAGGCGCGGGTAAAGAATTTAGCGAAGCTTTAGGCGGAAATTATCCAAGAGAACAATTTACAATCGTGATGTTAACATATGAACGAGAGCAAGTTTTTATAAATTCTTTGGCTCGGCTGTATGGGTTGCCGTATTTAAATAAAGTTTTGGTAGTGTGGAATAGTCCAAAGCCACCTACGGAGGACTTAAAATGGCCCGATATTGGAGTTCCAATTCACGTAAGTTCTTTTTATTGGTACCGTTGCACGATAATTGGTTACCTTGTGAATTATAATCGAAGCGGGTAACATTTTCTTTCCTTTTCATACAGGTAATAAAAGCCCCGAGGAACAGTTTAAATAACAGATTTCTCCCATTTGATGCTATCGAAACGGAAGCTGTCCTTTCGGTAGACGATGATGCTCATTTGCGACACGATGAAATTATGTTTGGATTTAGGGTATGGCGAGAACACCGAGACCGTGTGGTTGGATTTCCTGGTCGCTTTCATGCATGGGACCAAAATTATCACAATGCTTGGAATTATAATTCTAATTACTCTTGCGAATTATCAATGGTTTTGACTGGTGCTGCATTCATTCATAAACATTACACATATCTTTATACACATTGGTTACCGCAAGCAATACGAGATAAGGTTGACGAATACATGAACTGCGAGGATATTGCTATGAATTTTCTGATATCGCATCTGACCAGAAAGCCGCCTGTTAAGGTAAATTTAATATGCGTCAAATTCATTCGTTTAAATCGAATACGCTTTTAATATCCAGGTCAATATTCTAATTCCTTTTTCTCGGTTTCAGGTTACATCACGTTGGACCTTTAGATGTCCAGGTTGTCCAGTTTCTCTCTCAGAAGATGATACACATTTTCAAGAAAGACACAAATGCATCAATTTTTTCTCTCAGGTACGTGAATTTTGTTATTTCTGTATTAAGTCTTCCATATAGCGTTCTTAACGTATCTTCGAAAATAAAGAAAACAATACAGTTGAATGGATGTTTTATCAGTTGAAATTATAATAATTTCAGGTTTTTGGATATATGCCTCTCTTAAATACTCAATATCGCGCAGACTCGATATTGTTTAAGACGAGAATTCCACACGATAAACAAAAATGTTTTAAATTTATATAAAAGAAAAAAAAAAAAAAAAAGAAAGAACCGATAGAAATATTCAGTAAACATCACTTGATAGAATTTACATGGTTTTGATAACATTTTGACTGAATTTCCTATAAAGTATATCAACGCGTAAAGCAAATATCGTAGAATTTTTTATTGTCCTCACTTTTTTATTGTACCTTTTTTTATCGATGTATACATTGATTGAGTGAAATGCACATTCAAGTAAAAATGATGGAAGATCGTCAACTGCATAGATATATTATAACGAATATAGAACATAGTGCAAACTCTTTTTACGTCGTTGTACACGTAACTTATATCGTACCGATTTTAACGATTTACGATGAAACGTAATAAATTCATTTACGAAGCAGAGTTAATTTTTACGATGCACGAAATAGGATGGGAAATACAAAAAATATCGAAGATGTATACGATACGTATATATATATATATATCAAAAGTCCTATAAGATCGAGTTAAAATGCATCTGTCCTAATTTATTCGAGGCACAGCCTCTTACTCTTCAATGATTATCGTTACGTACGATTTGCACAATAATCTTATTTGTATATAACGACAGTGTGAACTAGGCTGTCTCGGAATTATGCTTATCGAAATAATGTAAATAGCAATACAATAAAGTGGAAATAACTAAATGTTAATGGGCGTTGTAGCAGTGTACTGCCGGAAGAATACGAAAACGTGTTCGAAATTGAGAAAAAGTGCTCCTTCTACTAGAAAATCGATGAAAACTGGTTGCTGATGTAAACGTATAATTACCGCATCAATTTCTTTCGCAGATTTCGCTTGCCGCTTATTTTTACATTACTCCCCGATAATACTTTAACTATTGCGTATAATTTAACTTTAATGTGCCAAATCCCTAACGTTCGCATACGAGCTTACCTATAAGTTAGCCCTCTATCCAGATATTAGTTTCTATTCGAATAATACTCGTAACGAATTATTTGTCAATGTATGTATCGCACATCGTTTAAGCTTATATCGTTTGTGGTACCTCAAACGTTGCAATTACTGCGAAACACGATACATGTAAAACCGATTTTGTAAATTCGATTTTACATCGAATCCTACACACAGTTTAATTGTAATCTCAACCTGAATCGAGTTCAGGCACACGTGCAAGAAAATAAATATATATATTATTTATGATTGTACACCGAGATCCATTTATTTTACGATACTCGACGGTACTTCGATTTCGATCTTTGCTTATCAAGCACGTACAATTCGATATTTTTGGCTCTGCTCCAGATGTCATTAATCACGCGTATCCGAATATCGTACACGGTAAAAACAGATACACGAAACAGGTTGATAGGATCTACTAATTTTAAGTCGATGGCCGCTGGGCAGTCGATTTCAACGTCGCCCTTGATCGACCGAAATTTAACACGTGTGTCACGAATATCCGACCGAATTTCCTATTTCATCCGTGCAAAGTACTCGGCAAATCCGAGTACCAAGTTGATCCGATAACATCGACTACCTATTAAATTGTACAATAAACGAAAATATTGCGCTATGTTACAACTTAAGACAGTAGTCATCGCCGCGAGTCGTCAGCCGCGCCAGTAGTACTAACACGTCCCACATCAGACGCTCGCCGACTACGAGCGCAGCGACAACGAATTTCTTATTCCAGCGACGAGTTTATTCGCTACTCGGTTGCTTATCCATCAGAAAATTCATCGCACGAAACGTGCAAGTGCTCGCATATTACCGTAACCGTCTCATCTCGGAAGAAGCTTCCGAATAATCGTCTGCAAGAGAGAAAGAGAGAGAGAGAGAGAGAGAGAGAGAGAGAGAGAGACTGCTGCGACTCGACGACGCGAATGGCGAGCGGAAAAATTTATACTTTCCCGGGTTAGAGTGGTGATCGTGACGCGTTCGATGGCGTTCGAATTCACCGCCAGAACGGCAAAAGTAACACCGTTGCGGCGGTGAACCCCATTGGCCTAGGGTGCGATCAATACCAGGTTTTCCATGACGTAAGTACGGCCTGTGGTCCTTATTGGTTCGGACATACGCCGCATCCCATTATTTATTAAGACCGCATGAATGGACGTTTTTCAACGATCAACTGGACGAAAGCCCTTTTGCCAGGCACCGCCGTACGCGGGGAAATAGGTGCAGGGAAGGCAGGAAGCTCGCGTACGTGGCTGTAAAATCTACAGTGGAAGTGGCCGCGAGCGACAGACGTCCTTTCGGGACGCGTTTCTGCCTCCCCACCTTGGTCTGGCACATGCACGGGAAGAAAGCGGAATTCGTGCGGGCCGGGTGGTGGTCCCGAATGGACAAACACGCAGGGGAGGGGGCGTGAGTGGTTCGCGCAACTGCGGTCGTACACAAGTACGAGCCGAAGGAGGGTGTCCTCCGCGGTGAAAGGTCTCGGTGGTTCGACTCGGTTCCCGTTTTTTCATGGACGACAGCGAACGGAACCGAGAAGCGTCGGTTGGTCGTCGGTCGGTGGTCGGTTGGACGCGCGATTTCGACGCCAGAATCCTAACAGGAAGTCGATTCGCGGCCGGAAATTAGCCCCCTTCGCGGAGACCGGTTTTCTCGTTTCAGCCCGTTGCGGAGAGGGTTGGCAAGAGGTGCAGGCGGTGCCGTGCGCGAGCCAAGCGGAGACAGAGAGAGAGAGAGAGAGAGAGTGAGAGAGAGAGAGAGAGAGTCGGAAGGGATGATAGAGGGTGGAGGGAAAGGGGCGAGCGAGATAGAAGCGGATAGAGCCGGGTAGAGGGAGAAAGATGTAGGCGATCGGCGGGAGAAGGGGTGAAAGGGAGAGAGAGAGAGAGAAAAGGAGGAGGAGAAGATAGAGGGAGAAAGAGAGATCGAGCCGTCAGTGGAGTAGTACCAATCGCGGAGCGTTGGCGGACATAAGCGCGCTAGGGGTGTGGAATAAGCTCATTCGTGTGTTGTTCTAGTGTCGAGCGTTAGCGAGAAGGGAAACGCTGAGACACGGAAGTGAGAGAATATCCGTTCGCTTCGCCATTCGCCGTTACAAGCGATTCTCGACGACGCCGTTACTAACGTGTACTCGCGTGTGTAATCAGTGCGAGCAACGGTAAACTCGGAGTCAAACGCAGACCGTCAGCCGTGATAACACCGTAAGTGGTCGCTTTACACCGACGAGCAACGGAACGGGGAAAGAGAATCCATATTTCCGTGGGGATATTCGCGATAGAGCGAACAGCTGACAACGCGAGCTGCTAATCCGTTCGAACGCGAGTCGAAAACGTCGCGAAGAACAGCCGGTCAGCTGAGAAAACGGCTCTCGTGGGTGTGGAACAATCCGGTCTAGGGCGATTGATTGTGTGGGTGTCGCGGTCGCTGCAGAGACGTCGAAGAGCGCCATCGTCGTCTCGGCCGCCACGTGAATCGCAAACACCGAGAGGAGAATACTTGTAGCGTTGAATATCGTCTGGAACCGAGGCATCGACATACGTGGCACGAACCCCTCCGAATAATCCAGGCTACATTACCGCGTACGCTGCCGTGTTCGAATTAACGCGTCTAGTGTCGCTTTTCTTCCGGAGGATTCGCCTACTCTCTCTCTCTCTCGGCTACGCTTGTGAAATTTCCTTCACCGCTCCGCCACGCTCCGGGCAAATTCGTCGATCAATTCTAACGTGATCCAACGCGACAGGTTAAGTTGCGTTTTTAACAGTTGGTAGAGAAACGGAGGAGAGGAAAGAAGAAAGAGAATTCCGAGGTTGAAGAGGAGAAAGATCCCGAGTACGAGCAGCGGGGATAGCCAGAGTGTGACCCGTTTCCCGTTCGAAATCGATGAAATTCCGAAAACGTTTCACAAAGGCCAGAAACATGACCACGTAGCCATTATTATCGTAGCGTTCCCGATTGGTCGCGCGGCCGTCAACGCGACACTTGGCTCGTGCTGAAACGCGGACTGGTCTCGTTTAAGCGGTGGCAGAAGCGTTCCACCTGCGCCCGCCGTGTATAGAATCGCGTATTCCCCTGCAAAGTTCAAGAACCTGGGCTTCGTGTGTACGGCAGAAACGAGTGCACCAACGGCACCCGTGACCCGTTTTCGTTTTCAATCGATGTACTCGTGAACTGGGCCGCTCGTCCGCTCGAAACCTCTATATCTCGCGAGGTGTTCGACCATCAAAACAGAGGAAACGGGGTAAACAAATCCCGAAGCGATCACGGTGTACGACACGACATCCACCGGATAGATAGATAGATAGATAGATAGATAGATAGATAAATAGATAGATAGATAGATAAATAGATAGATAGATAGATAGATAGATAGATAGATAGATAGATAGATAGAAAAGGGAAAGAAAACGAGAGAGGACGGGAAGAAGAAGAGGACAGGGTGAAAGAGAGCGAGAAAGGGAAAAGGAGAGAAAGAGGGGCAGAGCGAGGAAGAAAGAGAGAGTGAGAGAGAGAGAGAGAGAGAGAGAGAGAGAGCGAGAGAGAAGAATCGGAGCACGTTAGAGCAGCGAAGAGCGGGGGAGAGCAGTGCGCACATTCTAACCTCGCAGCCGCCATATCGAGGACGCGAGGAGGAAGCTCGTCGAAGGTCGCTTTCGAGGAACACCTGGGGACATCCCTCGTATCGTTCCATGCTGGCTTCGAGCGGAGAACTAGGAACGGGGACGGAAGAGAGAATGCGAGAACCTCCACACAGTCTGTGAAACATGATTTGTCATACAGATGCGGTCGCTGGTAATCGTACGACGAGAGATAACGACGACGAGGACGCCGACGGAGACGAGGATCACCGATCTAGCCAGCGTCGCGTCGATGCCTCGACGAATCTCGATGACGCTCGCATGAGAGGCAGCTTCGAGGCGTACGATAACGCGCGCACGAACAAGGCAGCCCGGTGTCGAGTGGCTTCCTCCTGTCCAGTCGAACGTCGGGCGAACGTGCTGGTCGTGGTCGACGGGCTTCCAACCTGCGTACCGATCGTCGCGGATCGTCGCGTGTGCTGCAACCGACAGCGTCAACGGCAGAGACAGCAACAACAGCGGCAGAAGCAACGATCAGCGGAAGATACGAAAGCACGAGCACGGCATAATCTCCGCTCGTCCAAGGCGTACCCGTGTTGTCGTGGCCAGCTGCGCCGATTACCAGGTGTCGGATGACTCCCCCCGTACGCTACAGCCTTCCCGTAGTCGTAGAAAGGACGCGATATCCCGTAGGAACGAGCGTTGTCGCGCGGCGAGCAATCCTCGTCGCGGTACCTCATCGGCGGCGTCGTCGGTGCTGCGCCGGCCCGCGCGTCGCGCTAAACTCCTCGCGATTAGACCTTCCCGTGCACGTTCCTATCTTACGTCCGTGATGGCGGCTGTACCTGATATGTCGCACCTCACCCCCGAGGAGAGGAGCACCATCGAGGAGGTTATAATAAGGCAGAAGCAGGAGGAGGAGAAGGAAAATGAGATTATGAGGTACGTCGCTTTTGCACCCTGTTTTTTCTACGATAACGATGCTGCCACTGCTGCCGATGCTCCTGCCTCGTGCACTATATGCTTCTTCTTTTGTCGCCAAACTTTTACCTTTTTCTCGCTTTTTCTCGTCTTCCTATTTATCGATCCTTACGATCGGCAGGCTATGAATCGTAGGAGGGTTGCACCAAGGCACGTAACGTTTGTGTTTACTTATGGAACAGCGTAATAAAAAAAGAAACGATGAACCAACCCTTTAGCCACCAAGGATGACTATAGTACGCAGGGTACTCGATTATTCGACTTTTTAGAACGGGGGTTAATTTTTTCTTCCTTTTTCGTTCTTCTTTCAAGCCGAAGCTGCTTTGAAAATCAGAAACCTAAAACGACTACTAAAGAACGTTGTCCCTGGCTTATCGTTCATAATTTCCCTTTTCCTTTCTTTTTTTTTTCTTCTTCATTCGCGTACCCATTCGGGACGTTAACGTTTACTTGGCGCTTTCGCGTGAAAATCGGATGCCTGTACACGGTACTGGAAATAAATAAACAAGCGCACTGGGTAGCAAGAGGGTATCGCGTCGACGAGTAGTATAAGGACTGAATGGTCGGACAGGCTAGGCAGAGCTACGAAATGTGACCGTGGACGGTCACGCGTTGTTGATCACAATTACTGAACGAACGAAACGATGTCCGATCGATCGAGTACGTGTATTTCTTCACCAGCAAATTGTCCCCTCCGATGCTTTCCGCCTATTTTCTCCGCTTACCTGCTCGTTAGTCCTTGACCGTTTTGTACCTATCGCATCTTCCCTATTTAGCTATTCATCGTCGCGGGGATGATTATCCCGTCGATTCCGAGACTCCGAGTCTCTCCGAGTCTCGAATGACAATTCGTTTCTCTCGGCCTCGGCAGGATCGATCATCTCGTCCGACCTGATAGAATCATCCGAAAAGCTCGCGCAAACTTTTCCTGCGTGAAGAAGCAGCAAACGAACGACAGTCGGAAAGTTTGCTTCGAAGCGCCGCAAGGAAGGAACGAAAACTGACCCTTTTAACGGCACAGCCTCGCACCTAGCGTTGCAAGAGGCAGCGGGTGACGGATGCGCCAGCAGCCTCATTCGCATGTAATTACGGTGCCAGAGTCGCAGCGAGGCGACGCCGAGGAAAATGGACGGCGTTCTTCGAGGAAGGCGTTTTATTGATAGGTTGTCGCTGATGGAAAACGGGAACGCGAGAAAGCAGTCGAGCGGGGAACAGAGACAGACCGACACACAGAGAGAAGGAGAGATAGAGAGATAGAGCGGGCGAGCGAGATAGGGGAGAGGGAGAGACAGGCAGACAGAGAGAAAGAGACAAAGAACAGGGTGAAAGAGGGGTGAATCGAGGGAGATAGAGCGAGAGGCAGGGAGAGGGGATGGACACCGAGAGAAAGGGAAGGAGCGAGAGAGTAATGAGGAAAGCGTGCTTCGCCATACCGATGCGAGATCATGTAATGTGGACGACAAGTACGTGTAGGGACAAGGCAGCAAGCCTTGACGTGGCTCGGTAACGAGCTGCTGTAGTTGCATAGGGTATGCATAGGGTATGCAGCTGCAGCCCGTGGATGGAGTGTGAAAGAGGCTGGCTGGATTGGCACGGTAAATTCTTGGATCCTGAAATACAGAGGCTGGCCCGCTCGCGGAAGGGCGGCGCGTTTCAGCGCGGACGCGACCACGCCGACGATGGCCAGCAGGTTTGCCGATGGTCATCGTGTCGCCTAGAACCACGCCGAACCCTTTCGCATCGCGGCGATAATTTTAGTCTCGACATGGACGATAGTCTCCCGTTGGCGCATCGGAAGGCGACTCGCGTAAAAATAGACGTAACCTTTTCCGTCCCCCCTGCTTTTAGGCTGGCGTTCGTGCGTGCAAATCGATGTAATTTGCTCGCGTAATTCGCCGCGGGTTGTTTCTTCGGCCACTACCAATTCCTCCTCTACCTTAACCGGTAACAACCCCGCTCTCTCGGTATCTCTGTTTTCTCTGTCTCTGCTACAGACATCGCGAGGCTCGCGCATAATAGGCGAGGTAAAGTTTGAGGCGTGAAAGAAGGAAGGGAGGAAAAAAAAAAAAATGAAGCGGATGCTCCAATGGACGGAAGTTTCGACGCGTCGCGCGAAGATCGGGGAGAGGGTGGGACTCTTTGTTCGAGCGAGGCACGTAGCCGGGGCGTCGTGTGAAAAGTCGCGTAGCGCGGATTTTGTGGGACGGAAAAGTCGCGCGTAAATCACGGGAGGTGTTCGTTAAGTAACCTACATTTCTGCGCTCGGTTCTCCGCCTTTGATCTGCTTCTCTCCCCCCCCCTTTGTCGCGGGAGAATATTTTTTTTCCTTCATTCCATTTTTTCTTTCCTTTTTTTCCTTTTTTTATTTTTCGCGTGACGACGGATAGATCGTGTCTCGGGGAAACGCGGCCGTGACGCGACTCGTCGCTCCAACTCGACCGACCGATCGTAGTCGCGTGTTCGCGAGTCGCGCGCGATTATTGGTAAAGCAATTAGAGTAACGTGGGCGGGTACACGTACATTCCGCATCCATGCGCGTGTTCGTGTACGTATACGTGCTTTGTGACATGCAGCCACGACCTTTGACTCGATCGGCAAACTCAAGATTTAGGTTACCGCCGCTCGCGACTGTTCCATGCAAATTTCCGCTCGAAACTCCATCGACTACCGGCGTGTGTATTTAATATAGGCGGTGCTTCCTCTTTGTGCCAGCGGTTACGTAGAAAGTAGATAACGATCGAAAGGAATTCGACGCGTTGCTTCCCCGTGTCTGTTTCCCGATGATCCAAGTTCGAACCCGCCGGTGCCAACAACCCTCGTGATTCCCAACTTTCATTCGTCCACGTACACGCGACCTAGAGACCGAAGGCTTCCGGACGTGAAGCCCCTAGCCTCGTGCCAAGTATTCCTGCCTCCTTCCTGCTCCCTCGTGCATTCGCGCTAACCTACTTGGCTTGCGAGTCCTGCCTGGTCCAGTCCCCCTGTCATCTTCATCCCCCGTGATTAGGCTGGTTAACGTTGTTTACGAACCCCCCGAAGAAACTCTCTCGCGATCGTCGAATCGTCCGCGAGTCGCAAAATACGCGTGCACGGGTTGCGAGCGTAGGAGAATTTGATCGCCTGGAGGAAAGACGCGGAAATGTTCTAAGCTAGCGGCTGGAATAAATCGATGACATCGGTCACATTCCATTCCAGTTCAATTACCTCAGCGATAAATTGACTTTCCCCCGGTATCAAAGCCTGGCCATTCCCTCGGCTGCAACCACTCGCAATCCTATCTTTCCGCCGCTAATCGAAGTGTCCCTTCGGTTCTTCCTTTTCCAAGACTTTCGCGAATGATCCTCCGCCGTTGCTGCGATTGAAATCGAAGACCTTAACAAAGTCCCTTTCCTCGAAGATCGTTTACCAGACCATTCACCGTGGTACGCGAGAAGAGCCGGGTAACGTATAGGGTTCGGCGGGAAGTGCATTTTTCATCGACCCCCCCCTATACTCTGCATCGGTCATGGCGATAAAAATGAAGTTTCCATGCCACCTGTTATCTCCTCCGCTTCTATCGACAGTCGCAGCTGTACTGCCGTTTATACGCTGCATAAACACCGGGACTATAGTCGACGTCTAGTTTTCCAAGCACGATAATAAGACGTTCGAGTGCGTTCGCACGGGGATTGGCGATTCCGCCTGGTTGAACGTTGCAACGAACGCTATCGCGTCTTTCATCCTCGTTCCTGGTATCTACGAGCAAGCTCTGCCCGATAGCAGCTACCCGGGAGAAGGTTCGAAAGCGAGGCGCGTTCACTGAAATCAGCCAGGTTGAATTCTCGGACGTCCGATGGCTGTTCCGGTCTCTTGGCTCTCGAAAGCCGTGCCGAGAGAGCTAAACGGGGCGAGGGCTAAAAACGTCGCGCTGCGAATTAGTTACGCGGCTGGAATTAAGTAGCTCTGCCTAAACGAAATCATAGCGAGGGCAGATAAAAGTGGAGCGACTCCGTGGTGGTGCAATTTGCAGAAAAATCTCGGCTCGACGAAGGACGACCGACGACAGACTGAATTTTAATGGCAGACTTGCGCTTCTCTTCCGTCCTGCGACCTGGCTCTCTGTCCCACCGAAACCCTCGAAATCGGGAATCCACGATCACCGGGGAATCAAACGACGACTTTGCTCGAGTCTCCCGAAGTCTTTTCTTCTCTGTTTCCCATCTCGAAACTCTCCGACGCGAGTATCCACCTCTAGCGCGGAGGTCTCGCTATCTCGAGGCTACTCGCTGCGACGAGGAGGACGATGAAGGGGTTGCTAGAACGCAACTGAGCACGTAGCTACACGTGCGTCTACATATTTATCGACACCGGTGAACCGTCTTCACTCGAGGCTGTTCTTTTTCCACCACTCCTCCTCGCATGCAGCGTTCGTTTGATGGGTTAGCCTGTAATTTGCATACGACGTCGACTGCCTCTAAACGCGTTCCCTCCCGTCTTATCTGCCCTCGCGATACAGCGTTAGTCTTTGAGAAACGTGGCGAAATTGCATCTCTTTTCCCATCTCCCTCTCTCTTTCTCTCTCTCTCTCTTTCAAGTCGATCGTACCGAGGAACTTTTATCGCAACCGAAAGAGAGCACTGGGTGTTCCGAACTACGGAATAAGTATCCTAAAGTTAGCGGAAGTGCCTCGAGTCTTGCACGTTCTTAGCGTCGATTTAGCAAACGAGATATACTCGCGGGATAGACCGTCGTGCTCTTCCATCCCGCTCGGAGAAATAATTCCTTTGTTGCGTTCTGGTTTGCAGACGGAAGCAAGACGAGGTGAAGATCCTCGAGGAAAGGATACGAGCCTGCTCGGAGAAACAGAAGAAGGCGGGAGTGGAGCTGCACGCCACGTGTCACATATGCCTGAAAACCAAGTTCGCCGACGGCGTCGGTCACATCTGCAACTACTGCAGCATCCGGTGCTGCGCACGCTGCGGCGGAAAGGTCACTCTACGGTCGAACAAGGTAGGGGCGAGATCGGAAAAGAAGCGGCAAGATATATCGTTAGGAGGAATCGAGCCCTCCTCGGGCTCCAGCGCGCTCTAATTCCCTCTGTTTTTCTTACTCGCTCGCGTTTCACGCTCCAACACGCTGCAGTCAGCTCGCGATTGACTGATTGGCCGCGCCAACTTCCCGTGCCCCGACACCCTGTCGTTGAACTTTACGCGGATGCATCGGTCCGACCACGCTCGCCTCGTACCACTGTTCGTTCCTTGGATCTTCGAGCGCGTTCCGCTGCAGTGGTACGATCGGCGATTTTCCCACCATCTCGGGTGCCGGCGTTCTCGAAGACGTTTCGCGGTTCGCTGGTGGAAAATTTAGAAACGATTCAGAGGGTGGTCGGATAATCCGCTATTTTTCTTTTAATTACGGAAGCCACTTAAATTTAGCGAACATCCACGCTTTGAGGGATCAGGAGTTTTATTTGTCGCCACGCCGGTCAGACTCGCGACCGAAAAAGATTCATTACCTAAATGAAGGGATCAAAGGAAATCCTTCTGTGACGGTGCATTCGGTACGCGAGCACCGGAAACGCCTTGCCGCTCGTGACATTTCAAGGTTCGCTCTTTTCACGCCGCTGCGAAATCCAAATAAATTCTTCCGATGCAGAAATATTTGAGTTCCCATCCCCTTGACCGTAGCGAGCGAATCGTTTAACTTTATCGGGGCACAGATCGAATCTCGCATCCGGATGGTTTAAAACGAAACGACGGAGGACTCCGTTGGAGACCTCGCGAGGAAACCGTGTCTGACGCTGAGGGTGCGCGAGGAACAACGTGTGGCAGCAGATCGATGAACGAGATCGGCGATCGTACACGCGAAGGTCCGCGACGGGCCGCGCGAATCGATGCTCGAATGGGCGTGAAAACCGGTCCGAAAAGCCGAGTCACTGGCTCGGCCCTGCTGATAACTCTGATCAATGGGATCTTGGGCGCGAATCTGTGCACCCGGAGGAACGGAAACGAGGCTACGATTGCCGACTCCTTCGAACTATTATCTCGCGCCTGTCGCTATACGTTTCCCTGAGCTACATTCGCAGTTGCACAATCTCGCCACCCTAAATAGGACGGCGACGGGAACTTGGTTGACTCGAGAAACGAGACCGTAATTCTTCGCACCCTTTCCCTCTCGGCGCCAGCGTCTGAAAAATTTTTACCCCCTCGAAGCAACGGAACGCGTCTATCCGACTAGATGGATAGATACGGACGATATTCTTGCCGGATAAAGAGAAGAGAGAGAGAGAGAGAGAGAGAGAGAGAGAAAGAGAGTCGCGGGAGGAAAGAGCGAGGAGAGGTTGAAAAATTAGACCCGTATAAATGGGGACTAGCAGTAGAGGCGGTTAATGGCGGAAGAAGGTCTCGTTCGCGCGTTATCGAAGATTCCAACGATTTCACGCAGTTCCAGCAGTCGGGACGACGGTGTTCGCGGAAAATTGGATCCGCGCCGCTGTGATTTATCGCTTTTCCAAGGCAGTCCATTTATTCCCTAAGCGTAGAGATCTCGAAACGCGTCGCGTGGTCGCGATTACCGCAGCCGGGGGTAGCCGGTGTTAAAAGTGCAGGCGATCAGTGCTGGAAATGTCAACTTCCTGGAAACAATTAAGAGCCGGTGGTATCGTAAAAGACGATAACCGGCGCGTATCGTCGCGCACGCTTGAAATACGTGGAAATAATTGACCTATAGCGAGGCTTTGCCCCTCTCTGCCCAGCCATACTCCCCGCCGCCCATCTCCGCGCTATACCAATTAACCCTTATCGCGGACGCGCGTGTGTGTAGCGTATGTGGGCGTAATGCCATCGCTAAATAGCCAGCCAGCGAATACGTTTTCCATTTATGCGCCGGTATTTCCCCGGCCGGGTCGCGCGACTTCGATAGGATTTTCATCAATGGGAATGAAATAGTGCCTACGGGCTCTGCTCGCGTTCCATGGCCCCTTTTCCCCAGCTTTTTATTTCGCGCCCCTCGCCTTTCAACCCGACACGCCCTCCGCGATATGCCACTCTCGTTTCACGCGAGATCGCTGATTCACCCGTCCAACGATCGTCATCGATGGCTCTCGTTGGATCTCATAATCATCCCCAGCTTCGACTCGGTCGCCAGCACTCGAAGGTTACTTTGCAACGAGTCGAAAAGGGATCCGCGAACGGGTCGAGTAACTCGATTAATAACACCCGTGCTCGAGCGAACGATTCTACGAGCCTGCCGCAGCTATTCCGCTCGGTGCTCGGCTCGCCCGCGGGGTAAAGGGTAATTTAACTCGGTTTTTGAATGCGGAGCATCCGGCAACCGGGAAATAAGAGCGACAACCGGCTGCACGTACGTTGGAGAGAATACACGCGCGCGCGTTTCAGCCGGCGAGCGGTACAATAATAGAGGCAGACGCGCGGAACTTCGGCTTACAACTTCCTGTAAGTTTATCGGTTTTCGTCGTACTTTCGCGCGGCTTAAGAAACCGAGGCTCGGCTATGCAGTCGGTTAAAGCGAGCCGGTGTTCCAACAGCGGAACAACAATTTGCCAGACTTTTGAAAATATTTAATCTTCGATTCACCGCGCTCGCTACTTCCCTCCTGGAGTGTATCCCCGAGCGTCCGTGGAGGCAATCGAAGGGTATCGGTCGATCGTTGCGGAGCTCGGAGCCGTTCGATAGGGCCGAAAATGTATGGGAGACGGGGAAAGAGAGCCCGTGGTACACGCGCGTGCCAGCGGTTCGTCCCGCGAACACGTACTCCCACAAGGGCGCCAGGGCCACACGCAAGTACGATGATAAACGTCACGGCGCGCGTTACGACATCATCGATCCGCTAGAACGGAACACGCTCGTACGTTTCCTCGCGCTGGAGGCCAGCCACGATACGCGAGGTTCGTTCAATTACACGAGCCCGGGCTTTTTCACCGGCGGGGTTCTTCGATTCGTCGGATCTCAGGGTCCGAGCGAACCCCACCCTTCTTCGTCTTTCCACGCTTGCCGGTCTTCCTGTAAACGGCGTTTCACCCGTTACCGATCTCGACTACTCGCGCGCCACCGGCTTTACGCCTTTCGTCTCCGCGTCGGCTCGACTTTCCTTTTTTCCGTTCCTCCGTCGTCGCCGTGGTTTCGTCTCTCTGCGTGGGAGAGCCTATGAATGGGGCGCGTCCCTGCGTGACGTCACGTTCCAGGGGTAGGGGGCTGGGGTCAGGAATGAAGCGCGGGGTGGACGAAGGTGTGGGTGGCGGTGGATGGATGTTGGGCGGCGTGCAGGGGGCGAAACGTGACGCAACATATTGATCTAAGTTTCGTAGGGAGGGTTACAGTCCACACGATGGGCCGGCGGGGACACGGAGGGACGGCGGGTTCGACGGGGGGCCGAGGAGATGGATCGGGAACTGGGATACAAGGTGGCCGGTAAATTTACGTTGTTCCTCGTTTCGACGTGGTCGCGGTCGTGTGTTTTTGGTGTGGCGGTGCCGCTGATCGAGGGGAAGGAGTGGCTTTCGAGCGGCCGCACGCGTGGGCGGCGGGGTGGCCGCGCGAGCAAGCGGGCCGAAGCGTACCGGTCGCCGGAGCGGTTGCATTTCTGTTAATGAAATTAACGCGGATCCCGTTAATTGAAACGATACGGAGCGTACGATGGGCGATAGTCGAAGGGGGAGAGGGTGTATCGGGTAACTGCCGGGCTCGTAGGGTTTCGGAATCGTTGCCGAAAGTCGGAAATAACTCGTTTGTCTCGCAAACGTGGCACGTTCGGCAGTCCGATCGG